AATTCACAAACACCTTGAGAAAGTTGAAACTGTTCTAGAATTTAATTAATAAATTCTTGAACATAAATTTAAAAGCAAGATTATTTTGGTGACATATATGGAGATTAAAAAAATAAAATAAGGGAATGGAACAATGAACAGTGGTAATAACATTTAGGCATAGAAATTAAAATAACTAGCTCCATGAATTTATATTTATCTTGCAGACAACAACCCATTGAGTAATTCATTACTGTAAACATCATTATGTATTTATATTTCAATTGTCCAAACTTAATTCCAGGCATCTACCATTTCCCTTGGATTTCTTGTCAGCTGTTGTGATTGACCATAGAGTTCAATGTCAGTGGGCCCTTGCCATACTGTTGTTTGAGAGATCACGTTGATGCTGGAGCCCTCATTCACACTTCAAACTTAGCAAATTAAAGACCATTTTTAGTGTAAATATTTAAAAGTAATACAGATTTGTGATGTACACATACTACACATCATTTAATTTGACCATGTTGTTTGTTATGTAGATGGTTTACCACCTCACACCTCACATACGAACAAGGCTGAAACGCAATCAGATTGTTACGTGTCCTTACATCACCTTAGCAGTTGGCTCTGGGTAGCGTTTGTTTTGGAGAGTGAATATGATGTGTCATTAGGGAGGGGTTGTTATTTTGTCGGTGCCCAGCTGTGTTTTTTAGGTAGCACCTAGACAACACATGCACTCGCTTTCTGCAGATGGAACACCTAGGAATATTATACCTGGATAGATGTCCATAACTTAAAGGTAAAGACCAGTTATGGTCATGCGATTGCATTGTGAAAGAAACGTTGTGGAATCGATCAGAAAAGGTTGATCATCTAGCATCTAGCATCTGCAAGGTTCTGGAATCATCAAAATGATAAGAAATTTGGCCCATTCTTCGTAAAGTTACAAGCACTATACACAGAAAGATGTATATGGGACTGCCCTATATCTCTCACAGACCATGAGAGAAACAAATTTACCAAATATATGAATTAGTAGGCGGTTTCCCGGCAAATTTTTTATCATCATGTATTAGTCAAAACATATTCTTTCACATGATTGGTAATGAGAGCTTCCATTTCATTTTTTGAAATTGGGGCGTTTCCAATACTGGTCTTTACCTTTAAGTAAAGCAAGTTCAAATTTGATTTAATTGTTGGCATTTTTTCAATATCTGATGTATTCTATCTAGATTTACAGAAAGTCTAATAGTAGACTGATGTGTCCTAGCAAAATGCATAGATAGTTATCAAGATGTCATATTCAAGTGATTTAAAGCTAAGCTCCCTAACATTCATGTTGCCAGGGATGGTATTCCATATGATATCATGAGGATTGTATCTTTAAGCACCGTCTTACAGGTCTTAGCTGATGGCATGATAGATGTGTACTCTAACCAGTGCCATCAAAAGGACAATTGAACCCTAGATGATACTTGAGGTTATGTTTCAGGTTGGATTACACCATGTTACAACAAACCCATCACTCATAATTAGACTTCAATGTCGGTAAACATTCAATCCTGTTCTGCTGTCAGTGGAGAAGGGTTCAAAAGGGGCTCAGGGATTATAGTCAATGTGATTTGTAATTTTTTAATCATTCATGATTATGCTTTGATATCTGAATATTTGATTTAATGCTGTTGTCGTGCTGATTCAAGAGGCAGAGTTCAAAAAGGGGTTCAGATAAAATACAAAGTGATCTTGCAATCTTTACAGTATAGTCGATATGTATTTGATTGTCTGGTTTTACTTAACTAGTGCGATTGAGGGATGCCTTACTCATTAAAACATCATTAAAGTATAGATACACACATAAAGTCAAAGAGATTTATCTTATTCCTAGCTGTTCAACTTTTTATTAGAGTATTTCCTTTTTAAATATGAATTGCAGAGAGAAGAAACGACACATTTAACCAATAACTAAGAGCAAAAAAAAAAAAAAAACGGTAGTTAATTGAGAAAAAAGACAAACTTTTGACAAGGTCACAGATGGAAGTACTTCCCTATATCCATATATCCACTATTGGCATGAATCACCAAATTTGCATATCCTGTTGGAAATCCAATGAATGTGAAATTTTGCTCTCTGTATACAAAGTGAAGGAAAGAGAGGAAATATTAATGGCATATCAAATATACCCACATTACTAGCTGATGTCCTTGGCATTTGGCATTGTGTCTTAATGACAATTAATTTGGCTGCTTCTGTGAGTGTAAACTGTAACTCAAGTAAGGTAAAAAGATGTGGGGTGCTGGGGTAAATTAAGTGGAGCTATCTCTGTAATTATGATCAATATTATATTGATAAAGAATAACAAAAGAAATGTGTTTAAGCATGATGACTCATTGAGGCTATATCTTTCCTTGCTACTGATGAACTTGTGTTTATCTACAGCTGTTTGGCTTTTATTATTTCATTATTTTAAAATGCTTCACATCAGACTGAGAATCAATGTTCACTACATTTTCATAATTTAAAAAAAAATAATTTACTTCAGATGATTACTGTACATCAGATCTAAGGCAAACATAACAGTCCTTGAAATGTAATCTAAACTCAAAAAGTAACATTAATTTTATGACGTGTATTACACTTACTGAGCTGCAACTTTGTAAGGAAATAAGAACTAGAAAAAGATCTTTTCAGTGATATAAAGCTGATTAAATGTGACATTTCAAAGCGATACGTATCTCAGATAGCTGCGTGCTTGTGAGATCCAACGATGCTTGCCTTACACTTGTTAGATCGTGCAGCGGAAATTGCAATAAGATCGACAGAGATCACTAAAGTCTCTTTAAGCTCGATGAGAAGATTATCTGCTTCTGACTCTAAGCTCAGAAAATATGCTTCAAAACTAATGTAAGGCTCAGAAATAATCTAGAAACGGTTGTCTGTATCCCCACAGCTGTGTCGAATATCCCTAAATGTGTGGGTTGGATAAGGACACAGATTTTTTTGTTGGTTTCCTTTGAATACCCCCAATCTTCTTCAAACAGATGATATGTAGCATGTACAAGCTTTACTATTGCTGCACATTATTTTTAATAATGTGATCTTAAGTAGAGTCATTATTCTTTATAATTAGAATATATAATGTATGATGTCAGGTGTACCGGTAGGCATTCTCATTCACTCCTACACACTTTAGATATATTTTTTAATTGGTCAAATTTTGTGAGTATTCCTATACTCACCAACTCAATTATGACTGAACTGAATGAACTGAATAAAAAGAAAAACGTGATGAACTTGTACCTTCTGTACCTCTTCCATTTCTGAACATAATACTTCAATCAGAAATAAAGAGATGTCTAACCCATTGTCTGTGGGGATGGAGTGGTTCTTGTATAATATTGGTAGGATAGTGACATAACTCAGTAACCAATGGGTTAAGCAGTATGACCTTTTTATTCAAGTAGTAGTATAAAGTGATGGAATAGAAGGCCTGGCAACATCAACTCCAGGCTTTCTTATTTCAAAGAGATAGACCTCTAGGGTTAGGGTATGGGATAGAGTTAGTTCATCATAGTTCTGTTAAGTCTATGTTTGACATTCTTAATTTGTTTCTTGTTTGAAATTGGCTGCCGAACAATTGTCGTCGGTGCATGTCTCATAGAACCAGTCTAAGCTTCCCCCTGTTTTTGTAAGGACACTACAGCCTAGTGACCTCCGAGTGTGGGGAATGAACTCTTGCACTCAAGACAAATTCCCTTCTCTGTTTGAACTAGAAGTTCACCAACTAGATCCTATTGTCTGCCTGCATGAATGATGCTCTTCAATGTGGCAGGGAAAAGAATGATTTAATGATCTGGGAGTAGGCGTGGAGGGTTCAAGAATGGTTTGGTATGACAGACCAAACAGCTGTGTGTTGATGAGACAGGATGATACAGAGCACTTTGTAATGACACTCTAGGAAACGATGTATATTTGAAGACTGCCGAGGAAACAGTACGTCAATGATGGCTTTCCTTCAGGTCAATCTGGGCTGTGCAATGCCAATTCCATGACTGCGGCTCACTGGGGCAATGCACACTTGTGAATGCATTCGGCCTTCCAATTGTCGTACAGCTTAAGGAATTTTGACCTGGCTGTTCAAAACTAGGGACTTTGTTTCCTTTCTCTTGCACGCATGTTTGTACTAATCGGAAGTGCTCAATACCAAATAAACAAATGATACTCAAAGCAGAACGTTTATTTTGATCAGTTACCTCAGTAACTACAATCAAATGGGTTTTTATCATTGAAGTTAGTGAAGTCACAATTTACATTTCTGTTGTATTAACATTGTTAATAAACATGAAGCATGTGGTATAATTAAGACCTCTACATGTCATATACTCTGGCAATGTCAGCTACCATCCCTTTCCCCTTTATTCTGTCTCTTTCTGTACCCATTTTTTATCATTCAATTTATTTCTCTTCTATTGCCATTATATATTGGATGATATGATATATTTGTTGTTGCCTATCTTTCTATAAGACAGACATAATCATACCAATTTTCTTCACCCTGTGACTATCCACCACTGTCATACAACGTCCATACACCCACATCTCTCTCTAGATCTCTCTCTCTCTCTCTCTCTCTCTCTAGATCTCTCTCTCTCTCTCTCTCTCTAGATCTCTTTCTTATTTCTGTCTATATATCCCTCTCTTTCACTGTCTCTTACTCACTCTCTGTGTCTATCTGTCTTTTGAACCCGCCTCTAAATTATGTTTCTCTCTCTCTCCTCCATCTCTCCCTTTCTATCATTCTCCCCATATTTTCTCTCTCTCTCTCTCTCTCTCTCTCTCACTCTCTCTCTCTCTCTCTCTCTCTCTCTCTCTCTCTCTCTCTCTCTCTCACTCTCTCTCTCTCTCTCTCTCTCACCCACATCTCATCCATATAGCCTTATACTAGGAGTCAAACATTAGGAGGAACCCTAGCTTTCATCAAGTTGTCAGGAGTTCAATGTAAATCATGTAAACCACTTACCATAGTCTGCATCGCACATGTACTGCTGTGGGTGAGGCGTATGAGAGCACTGACAGCCCGACACCTTCCATGAATGAAAATCCACAATGAATACAAGGACAAGAAACGATACAACTAGATGAAGATCCATCTTGGAAGACAAATAAATAATCCAATAGTGATAGATAAAGACCAAATAAAAATGTCCTGGTGTCAATTCTTGTGTCACAAGTAGCTTTGGCTCGATTCAATGATTTAGTTGAAGGGAACGTTTAGAAAATGTTCAAGCTAATAAGGCTGTACTAGAACATTCTGAATTCTAAAGAATGAGAGAACCTTTAGATGCCATCCACTCATCAGATTTCAAGGGTTCTACAATCATTGAAATAATTCCCTTCTTGCCAAGTTTTGCAACAATTCAAATCCGTTTCTGGCTGAAATCCACAGATGTCATGACATGCTTTTATCGCGATGCTGTAGGCTTGCTGGCAAAGTTTGGAAATTACTTGTTTCCCTGTGAGCTAGATAATATGGCAGGCCTGTATAACATTAAAAGTTCCTTCTGGTATTTTCGTTATTCAGCTGACAGTACACACGTGGAGAAACTTGTGACAAATGCCTTGCAACATTCTTGTTTATATCTCAATTTTTTTTCTTTACACTACTCCACTTGAACACACACACAATAGTAGCCTCCTACTGGCTTGCACACAAGCTTGAATGTGTATCCTGTGTGTATTCGCAGCATGCAATGTGTGGAGTACTTACTCATGCATGCTCAACAAAGCTATGACATCACTACCTCAATGCCATATAGGGTAATGTAGGAGGAGTATCTGTGAGCAGTGCCTTGTTGCTTTGACCAATCAGAAGCAGTAATGGCTCAGTGCTCACTTCTTATCAGTAGGCCACACCTCTTTCCTGTACAACTCTGTTCTGTCATTGGTGTATTGTTGTTATTACTGTATGTGATACCAATGTGGGATTCCATATTAGGCTTTTAATTCCCACTCTCCCTTACACTTCTGGGAAGTGGAGCTTGTATTGTTTCATGACCTGTGTGGGTTTTTTTTTTTGAGTTTCTATGATACCTTCACAAATAATAAACAAGTCACATTTTGTTTCTCACAGATTTGATATAAATTCCTCATCTACTATAAGACCTTCATAAAAAGCTTCATACAAATTCATGAATCTACTTCTTTTCTTGAAAGGGGGTCACTTTTTGAAGCAGCTGAAGAAAAAGAAGTGTTACCTGTATTTGAGAAAATATGTTAAGTACTTGTTTTACTTTTTAAATTCAAAATTTTCCTTTGAAATTTGTTTGAAATATGGGCACAAAGAAAAGTTATATTGAGTTTGTGTAATGATGGAAAATATATATGTAAGCGAATGCAAGTAGCATTGAACATTAAAGAGACTACTGTTTTTTAGCTTAGAACGGAGCAAAGTTGATATGGAAGTCATGTTCATTTTCAGTATTTTGGGGTAATTTTTTCTCTTCATATTTTGTAGGTCCAAACAACTCATCTGCTGCAAGATATACAATTTATAATTACTACAAATTTTTTTCTTTTGCCATGTACCGGTAATCCATTACCTGACTCAAGATTTGCTTAAATGCAAGGTAAATCCATGTAGCATTGAGGAAGACATGTTTTCCAAATTGTCATGAACACGATAGCACCACAGTTATTTTGTTGTGGTTTTTGTGGTGGATATATGTGTATCCGTCTGAAATTTCACTGTTTTCGGAACATTTCTCTTAATGAATATAAAAAAACCTATAACCCAAGAGATGCTTCTCCAAATAGCGAGTATATCTTCCAGAAGTGCCCCTAATACAATGTATCCATTGAATACACTTTTAAATGAGGCCAATCCAATAAATTCCCATCTGTGATTTTTTTTAGAATGCAGTGATGTGACAAAATACCTTCCGTATGTTTTTCCTTCCTTCCTTCCTTTCATTCTACCAATGTGATGAAATATAAATAAACTTGTGTGTCTTTTAACTAAATGTATAAGTCTCACTTTTTAGCTCTTTTGCAAGTTTAGCTGCAGCTGCTGATCTCATAAATACTGGTATGGTTGTTCATTATTTCAATTTTCATAGCTTTGGTTTCTTTGACTATGTCATCATGACTTTGCAGTGCTACCACACTAAATTATTGTGCAAGAAATCAGAACATATTGTTTTTTTTTAATGATGCTATTGTCCCATTTTCATGGATATAATCAAAGGCCTCTTTTCAATGTGGGAGGATTGGGGTCAAAATGGTCAGAGTCCTAATTTCAATTTATTTTAATTAGAATCTGAAGAAGTATATTTGAAGACCCACAGAAATAGAATATTCACAGTGTCACATGATGTGGTGTTTGTAATTGTTTTGGGTTCAATGAGCAAGTATCCCTTCAATCACATTGGATAATTTGCAATGTTCAAATTTTCTTGTGACCATGATAAATCCCTGTATTTTACTAAGTCGTTTACCCATAAGGCTAACCCTAAAATGAGTCCACAGCCTGTTCTTAATACTAATATGTTAATGGGAAGTGGAAATGATGCAACATATGACTGATTTGGGTGTAGGCATCAATGGGAAGAATTAAAGAGTACTATTGCCAATCCCCAATCACACTGATATATTAAATATTTTTTCAATTATTCAAGTTATTAGATGGAAATTCAGAAAATGGTTGGTGTGAAATTTACAAATAGGCTTATTCATGATCAGGAATGGTGCTCAAATCATATCTCTTGTGTAACTACAAATCAACATTGTAGAGGTTGTGTCGTGGTCGAGTGGATATGTCACCAGACTGTGGATCACAAGGTCCGTGGTTCGAGTCCCGCCGCTGCACTAATGTCCTTTGGCAAGACATTAATATACATTTGGCACACTTAATCCAGGCAAGGTAAATGGGTACCTAAATGTCATTATTATTATTATTTATGTATCCCTTATAAACAGATTTCTCAATCTAAATATAATCAGTCAAGTTCAGCCTGAAGGGTATATAATTCCACCTGAAAAAAATACCCCACTCCCATTGGGGAAGTACTTTATCTTAAAAGAACACATTAGCCCCCTGATGGGACAACATCTTATTCAAACATTAAAGTTTGAACAATTTAGTCAAAATACATTGAAATTCATGTTCTTAAACACGATTGAAAATGATAAGGGGGCTCCAGGAAAGTGCAAACCGGTTTGGCGGGAGGCGGAAATCGTGCCACTTGTCAGCGCCACAGAGGGATAGAGAGCAGGCCCAAGAATATGATTATGATTGCATTAGTCAAGGGGATGACAGAAGGGAGAATATCTTCGTGCAGGAATGAGTTGCTGGGTGTTAGGGTGAAGTGCCTTTAATACCCTGGCCGTGACATTGGCAAGGCAATGCTCTCGCCCTGCCTGTCACTTGTCGTTATGTTCGACATCCAAACCCCCTTTGGCTTGTTTGCTCCAGAGTTTACATTCCAGCATCACTTCCTTTCCTCCGTGGTTGTACGCTCAGGAATGTTCTTCCGTAATTGGCAAATTTGTACACTGTTTCTCTTACATCTATCATCTACATTGTAAAAATAACATAGAGGATGTACTAGAAGCATTAGTTATAATCCATCAGTGATCAATTTCAAATCAATGACATCACCAAAAAGTTGTAATTGCAAGTATGAACTGATTTGAGATGTCTAACCTTAGCCATCTCTGTTGTAACAAGTGGACGTTTAGAGGGCAATGGCGTAAAACAGTTGACCATTGATGATCTAAAACACTTCTTATAATTGTTCAGAAAGAAATATGGACTGAAGATTCAGGTCATTATAAGCTGACAACTTTATTAGTAAATGCCTTATTTTGGTATTAAAACATGCAGGCACACAAGTCACATACCTGTATTATGAAGTTGTGTGAATACATTTGAATATAGGCAGACATTCTAAGAAGAGAAAAAGATACAATAGAATGTGATGCAATCTTTGCCTAAACATCTGAAGAGTGATGATAAGGGTATCTACTTTGACACAAAGTTTTAAGATGTCATAAAATATCTTATCATTCATCTCAAAGGATCTCTAAGGAATGAAAGATGAAGAAAGACAAATATGATGATGTAAAAGCATTCTTTTATCCATTTCATCATGAAACTACGCACGTGCCCTATCTTAGATCAATAAAGCCCCCCCCCCCCCTATTTTATTTCTGATCAGTTTTGACATGATCAGGAAGAGCGGAGCCAACCCAGGATAAACTCATGTTCAGAAACATCACTTTCAGTCACCCTTGCATTATTCCTGAGCATCACGTATCTCGGATCGGATTCATAAATCGTTTGTTTTGGGAACATTTGAAGAATAAAATTTGAAGGGGAAATTGTCATAAGGAAGGATGAAAGTTCCTTGATATTTCCTCCTCAGGGAGGATAAGAGAAAGTAGATCTATTTTAGCCCCTCTGGAAAAGATTTTGATCTGGATACATGAGAGGATTTGTGCTGAGTTGGGACCAAAAGTTTATGCACTTTTCTTTTAAAAGCTCTCCACACCTCTCATGTATGTTTCACCATTTGATGATAATAATGGGTATATGCACAAACGTGTACACCTTTTAGTATAATGTCATTTATTATTCATTTCATAATTTGTTTATGTCTACATTTTTGTTTGTTTTTGAGAACAGGAATTCTGAGGTTACAAAATCTTTGTGTTGAAAACCTTACAAATAACACAACATAAAGGGATAGGCCTAGATCTTCTGTAATACAACAGCCCCTGAATCTGCCAATGTTGGTCTCATGAACCGGCCACAAGACCAATTACAAGTGGGTCTAGCAGGCCTTATGAAAACTAATCTGAGGATTCCTGAGACTAACATTGTCAGTCTTATGAACTTTACTTGTACCAGTAGGCTGTGGTCTCACAAGCTATCCTCACATGAAGCCAAATAAGTGGGTGTGGCATCAGGGAGAGCCCCTTTGCCCCTCTCCTAACAAAGTATTTGGGTACCACCCTGCAAATGGTACAATACTGTTAGTCCTATATCACACTTGTTTGAACAGTTTAGAATGGCTTTTTTTCTTTCATTCATTAATCATCAAGGACTTGGCAAAATGTCAAAGTTTTGAAAGGGAAATGTTTTTATTTGGAATGAAAACATAATTCAGATAACAACCTTGGATGGTGAACCATGTATTTCCTTATTTTTATTCTACTTAAAGGATACATATGTGTGTACTGTTACTTTTCATTACCTTCCGTTCATCAAATCAGAAAAAGAGACAATTTTACTGACAGTATTTTGTCAACTTAATCAGCTTGAAAAAACATATTGTTTATTACATGCTTTCCTCCAATAATCACTCTTTGATACATTGCTATAACTGATGCGCTTTGCTTTCTTTCACTCTGTATCTTAGTATATGTTTATCTATTTTGTGTGAGTGTGTCTTTTGTTGTCATATGTTCATCATATGAGGTTGATAGTATAGAATGATATATCAATAGAAACTACCTGTTGGTCTTCATTGCTGGAA